CCAAACCCTAAACCCTAAACCCCAAACCCTAAACCCCAAACCCTAAACCCTAAACCCTAAACCCTAAAACCTAATTGTTTCGTTTTGGGGCCCCATTTGCACTCAGGAGCCCGCGCTTGAGCTGGTGCCAGCGCGGCAAGCAGGCGAATGAGGAAATTGAGGAATAAATTAATCAAATTAAAGAATTAAATAAATAACTTAAACAAACAAACAAACAAACAAATAAATAAATAAATAAATAAATAAATAAATAATTACAATATCGTCGAAGACTGCGTGGGCGAGATTGCCGTGGGGGCCGAGGCGGCCGCAGGCGAGCGCCGCGCATGCAGAGTGGGTCGACTGAGGGTCAAAATGGGTCGAATTTTGCGGATTTTGGGGATTTTTGGGTTCATTTTTGAAATTAAATTCATTTAAAATGCCAAAATTCGAATTCGGCGCGTTTTTTCCCGCAGAAAAACCGCAAAAGTGGACGCATCGCCGCAGCAGCTGCTGCTCCTCCTGCTCCAGCGCGCTCCGCAGCTGTACAGACACCCGCTGGCCCAAAACCGAAAAGCTCTTCTCCTTCTGCAAAATCAAAATCAAAAACATTTATTTCAATTTAAATCATAAATATAATCTTTTTCAATTCAAATACTTCTTTTTTCCCACTTTTCGCCTTCAAGGGGCCCCCAGCGCCCTCCGGCTAACTGCTGCGAAGAAGCAGCAAAAAAAACGACGTCCATAGCCCCCAATTAGGGTTTAGGGTTTAGGGTTTAGGGTTTGCAGGCCAGAGATAGAACTGCCTTCTGTCCGCAGCTCTGTATTTTCTTGCTGCAAACGAGTCTAGGGTTTAGGAAGGGTTTAGGGTTTAGGCTGCAGGCTAGGACACATCTAGGGTTTAGGGTTTAGGGTTTAGGGTTTAGGGTTTACTCCAGTGAGCAGCTGCTGCTGCCACGCGTCAGCATTCGCTAGGCAAACAGAAAATGCTGCTCTCTGTGCTGCGCCGTCAGCGAGTAAACCCCAAACAGTTGCTTCTGCTGCTTGCTGCTGCTGCTGCTGCTGCTGCTGCTGCTGCTGATGGGCCTCTCTGCGCTGCTGCCAGCCTCCTGCTGCTGCTGCTGCTGAAGAGTCGCTGGGTGCTGCAGCGTAGGCTGCAGTAAGGGAGGACTGCTGCAGCAGCAGCAGCTGCAGCTGCTGCAGCAGCACGAAGGTGCGTGCTGCTTCTTTTTTGATTGCGGCAACTGCTGCTTGCGTCTGCTGCTGCTGCTCCTGCCGCTGCAGCTGCTGCAGCAGCAGCAGCTCGTCAGCAGCAGGCAGGCGGTTCGCAAGGCGCAGCGGCCCGTTTAGCTTCACCCTGAGGCCAATGAGTTTCGCCTGCAGCTGCTGCTGCTGCTGCAGCTGCTGCTGCTGCTGCTGCTGCTTCGCGTTCCCCTTTCCCAGCAGCAGCAGGCCCTTCTGCTGCTTCCGCTGCTGCTGCTGCTGCTGCTGCTGCACCCGCTGTGCGCGCCGCAGCAAGCTCTCCTCCAGCTGCAGCCGGCCTTTGCTGCTCTCAGCTTCATCTCCGCTGCTGCTGCTGCTGCTGCTGCTGCTGCATGCGTCGCTGCTGCTGCTTCGGGGGCTCGGGGGGCCCCCCAAACCCTCTTTGGGGGCCCCCTTGCTACGCCCGCGCTTGGGGGCCCCTGAGGGGCCCCCAGATGCGCGCCCAGCCATTATTAGGGTTTAGGGTTTAGGGTTTAGGGTTTAGGGTTTGAGGGCGAGTGTATAGGGTTTGAGAATGAGCTGCGTGGAAGGTCGAATCAGGCGAAGGCTTGATGAGGGACTCTGTACAAGGAGGGAGGCGCTAGGGTTTAGGGTTTAGGGTTTAGGGTTTAGGGTTTGAGGTTTAGGGCTTAGAGCCAGGTGACAAAAAGACAAGTAAAACTTAAATGGAAGGCCCTAACAACCGCTTCGAAGAACTGCTGCTGCTGCTGCTGCTGCTGCTGCTGCTAGTGGTCGTGGGTCTGCATGTGTTGCTGGGCGCAGGGCGTGGAGTGTCTGTACACCTGGGGGCCCTCGCAGCTGCTAAATTTAAATTAATTTAAATTCATTTTTATTTATTTTAATTTCTTCTAAAAGTCAATGCGCGGATCCTAAGCAGCAACGCAAGCATGCTACAGCAGCAGCAACTCGGGGGCCCCCCAGCTGCTGCAGCAGCTGCTGCACAGGAGCAGCAGCAGCAGCAGCAGCCGCAGCTGCAGCAGCCGCAGCAGCCGCCGCCCCGCGACCACACCGAGCAGCAGCTGCAGCCGCAGCAGCACGACCACGCCCCCAACCCGCTGCAGCAGCAGCAGCAACAGCAGCAGCAGCAGCAGCAGCAGCAGCGGTCTGTTTACCGGGTTTTGCTGCCTCGCGAGCTGCTTTTCAAGCCGCTGCTGCCAGCAGCAATTGAAGAGGCCCTGGGCCCTGCTGCTGATTCGCCGCAGCTGTCTGTTGAGGAAGCAGCAGCAAAAGCAATTGAGGCTTGGGTTGATCCTGCTGCTGCTGCTGCTGCTGCTGCTGCTGCTGCTGAAGACGGAGACGCGGAGAAGGAGGCAGAAGCGGAAGCAGGTGCGCAGCAGCAGCAGGCAGCAGCACTTGCCCAAGCAGCAGCAGCAGCAGCGCAGCAGCAGCAGCAGCAGCAGCAGCAGCACGTTCCTCTACTAGCTTCAGCTCCCCCTCGGCCCCAGCGCCCTCAAACGAATCGTCTCTCTCTAAACCCCAGCACTAAACCCTAAACCCTAAACCCTAAACCCTAAACCCTCGGCAAAAGAGCGAATAAGCAAACAAACGAAGAAATGAATTTGTTTGTTTCTGCAGAGCTGCTGCGCGTTGCTGCTCGGCTGTCTGCTGCTCTGGTGTACTTCCAGCAGAAGGAGGGAGACGCAGCAGCTGTACGTACACTCGGACTTTGCTTCTCTTCTTTGCTGCTGTCTCTTGCTGCTGTTTTGTCTCTTTTGTTCAAAGGCCCTCGCGGAAGGAGGCGTTTGAAGCTTTCTGTTGCCGTTGCTGCTGCTGCTGCTGCTGCTGCAGCAAGGGCTGCTGCGGACACTGCAGCAGCAGCGGCGCCACAGCGCGAGGCGCCGCCAGACGCTCACTCCAGCGCTGCTGCTGCTCCTGCTGCTGCTGCTGCTGCTGCTGCTGCTGCTCCTGCTCCTGCTGCCAAAAGGGCACAGGCTGCAGCGCGCAGCAGCCCAGACGCAGAGCCCCAACCAGACGCAGCAGCAGCAGCAGCAACAGCAGCAGCAGCAGCAGCAGGGCCTCCGAGCCACGCAGTTTATGCTTTCTTTGGGGTCGACTTTTATCAGGAGTTTTTGAGCTGCTTCAGTGCTGCTGAAAGGGAAGAGCTCTGCAGCAGCAAGTTGCTTTCGCAGCAGCAGCAGCAGCAGCAGCTGCCGCTGCCTGCAGTTGCTGCTGTCACTTTCCCCGTTTTTGCGTTTCCGACGGAGGCCGCAGCTTGCAGCAGCAACACTGCTGCTGCTGCTGCTGCAGCAGAAGCAGCAGCAGCAGCTGCAGCAGAGGCAGCAGCAGCAGCAGCAGCGCCGGGAGCGCACGCGCCTCTGTCGCCTGCTGCAGCAGCAGCAGCAGCTGCTGCTGTTGCTGTAGGGGGAGTCGGCGTGGCTGCTGCATTTGCGGCTGCGCGCGCTGCAGCAGCAAACAGTCTTGCTGCTGCTGCTGCTGCTGCTGACAACAGCGTGACCCTTTACGGGCCCTGCCTGAGCTTCCCGCTGCTGCAGTGCGTGCGGGTTTTGCTGCGGGCAGCAGCAGCAAGAGACAGCTACATGTGTCTTGTTGCTGCTGCTGCTGCTGCTGGGGTTTCTGCGCACCTCAAGGCCATTTGCTTCCCCGGACTTGTTGCTGCAGCAGCAAAAATCAAAAGAAAGAAAGAAAGATTTGTAACCCAACTTGCTTCTTTGCTGCTGAATAAGTGTCTCCCCCTCAAGAGCCCAGCAGCAGCAGCAGCAGCAGCAGCA